TTCACGAGGGACACGCGAGCCAAGATGCTGTCCTCTCCATCAGGACCAACTCCCACCATCTCGCAATCAATGGCCACGGCTTTGGTGAGGCTAAGTGAGTGGGCATTGCCAGAAAGGGAAACACAAAAAAATAAGCGAATATACGGAAAAGTCAAACTAGTCTTCTAAATATGTGCACAGACAATGCAGCAAGACCGGTGCCAATGCTGCATTCACGTTGTTCTGAGGATTTCTCAGCTTATGACCTAACTGTCGAAACACTTTTACCAGTAAGACATGAACTCTTTTGAAGCACATCTGTGGGGCTACACAAATACACTGACTTCGCCTTCACTCACCCGGCAAAGGCTCCCTGCTTGACCAGGGCACTCTCCGTGTCCTGGTTCTTCTGAATGCCCTGCTTCCTCCTCATGATCTCTGCTGCCTCTGCTCCCACTGTTGCCTCAATGTCATCAGGGTCCACATCATCAAACCACATGTCCTCTCTGCAATAGCACACAGAACAATATGAAGTTAGCAGCCACAATTCTTCTGGACCCGAGTATCAGCAGAAGTGAGTTCTGTGCACTTACTCTGTGGGTTTCTTCTCTTCCACCACAAGCTTTTGTTTCTTGGCTGCTTGCTCGCTGTTTAGCTTTCCACTGTCTTTTTTCCTTTTTGGAGCAGCAGACTGTTTTGTCTCTTTTACAGCTGGAACCTTCGAGTTCACCCGAGAGTCCTTGGGGGCAACACTTTTAGGAACAGGTTTGTGTTTCACTTTTGTCCCAGCGTCTGCCTGCTTGGGACAGACATTATTCTTGGAAATATTTTTAGTAGAATTTTTTTTAGCCCCTTGGTTTGGAAGAGCACCATTCTGAGGTGTTGGTGTCACAGGCTGCTTCTTCTCCGGTTGATTGGCCTTCAGCATCTGTGGAAAGTTTTGCAAAAGTTGTGAACAATCCTAAGGAAAGTGACTAAATCTGATGCAAAGATAAGACATGTAAACATTGTAACAAGCTATTATAATGACAAACCTCCTGTAATATCTTCCAGTTAACAGAGAACTGCAGGCCATCTTTTGGAGGTATTGGCTGCTGAGCTTTAGCTTTATCTTGCTTCTTGGGTGGTGGCTTTATCTTCATGAACTTTTCTGTCATCCACCGTTTCCTATTCTTTTTCGATGTGTATTTTTTCTCTGAAGATGTGGCTGGTTGTGTCTTAGCAGGCGACTCTTTTGTCTTAGGCTTCACCTTCGACATTATGGCCACTTTCGGTGAAATATTGCGTGTTATTTGGTTAAAGTAAGTAAAGTATCTAAGACGTCCTCAGCCACGCTGGACCGTAGAGCTCCGTCACTTGGTCACCGGGTAACGTAAAAACAAAAGTAGCGGTCAACACTGTCTCACCAAGATGTTTCCGAGGAGCACGTTTAACGTGTAGTCGCACCGACGCAGAGGTGTTACTCGAATAATTCTCTGAACTGGTGAGAAAATTGCCCGGTAGCTAACTGAAGCTGCACCAAAGCCATGCTGAAATGTATATTTCCCAAATGTGCAGCTGCGAAATGTGTCCGGCAACAACAGGAAATTGTAATTGAAATAACTGAGCTAAACAATCCAACGGTGCGATTTTCAAATAAAACATTCACTTCAATTTATATGATATGTTAATCTATATGTTTATTCTTTAAAAATATACATTTAGCTGTTTCTTTTGTTTTTATTCGAAAATGCGGAACAGTTTGTGCCACGTTTTGTGCCAAACGTTTCACATCGGACCGAAAAATGTATGGGACCAAACACGGGCAAACTGGTTGATCGAGGATATATGTCAGATTAGATTAAAGAAGCCATCCGGGGTTTGTTTTGTATTATTTTTTTTACATGTCCTTCTCTCACAGTTCTGATAAATACTCCACACATATGTTGAGGGCATCTTGTATCAAAAGCTCAGTTTAGGTGTGTTGATAGGAACATATCTGGTGACGTTAGCTTTTTTTCGCTACTAACGTTAGCTGTTATATGAACTACGTTAAATTGATTAAACTTTAGGTCTGAAGCTTTATATATGCCATGAATTGTGACACTTCTACAATGTAACGTTATCTTTCTGTCTTTCGTTTTGGTTTCAGATAATGGTGGTAAGCTCTCCTTCTCCTCTGCCTGAGAGAGCCATTTATGGGTTTGTCCTTTTCCTCGGCTCACAGTTTGGCTTCTGTAAGTAAATGTCATTTCCCTTTTCATATATTAAAATGTTAAACATGTCTAATTAATGTTGAAAATCCATCATAGACATTAAGGGAAGTGAATAGCATGTTCATACAGTTTCATGTACAATCACTGGTCTATACAGAAAAATCATTTCAAAATATAAGGCTGTGTATATTAATTTAGTTTATTGAAGAAGAAAAAACGTTGGTTAAATATTCTACAGATATACGTTAAATATTAAATAAAATGCAAAACAACTGAGTCAGATGCAGTCGTTCATTACACTCAATGGTTACTGTGAATTGAATTGCCATGCAGGAACACTGTGTGTGTGTGTGTGTGTGTGTGTGTGTGTGTGTGTGTGTGTGTGTAGTACCTGCAAATAAATCCTAATCATCTATTCGCTAATGTCAAACAGTGGGATTAGGAATCCAAACAAAAAAAAAACAGTCAGCCATGTCTGCAATGTGACGTCTACTTTCCTTTGTTCTCTCCGCAGTTCTGTATTGCCTGTGGGCATTTATACCAGAGGAGTGGCTTCATTCCATAGGGCTCACCTACTGGCCTCAAAAGTAAGTAGAAAATCATGTTGGTTATTAGTTATCCAATAACCAGTCCCCTGTCTTGACTGTTAAATTAAACAGTGTGCCTCAGGAAATACATGTACCACATTGGAAGTTTTATGATCCGTTAACTGAACCATTTTACTTCCTTGTGTAGGTATTGGGCCCTCGCTGTACCAATCTATCTTCTGGTTGCAATAGTGATCACTGCGGTGTTGCTGCTCGGAGTGAACATGAACAACACGGCTCCACTCAACTCCCTGGACAACTTCACAGGTGAAGACATTGCCTTAGGCTAACTGACCTACTGGATAGGTGACAATCGAGCAGCAACGTTTGTTTTAGAGAAGTGAAGCCAGAGATTATACACTCTCCATGTGTTCACTCCTCCTATCGTAGTTAATGGACTCAGGACCTGCAGCTTGTCTCGTAAAGGGGCGGGGCAGTGGTGAAACCCACATGACATAGATAGAGGAAACTGACCCTGACACGAGAAAACACTCAAGTCTTACAAATGTTCTTATAGAGTTTGGAACTTCCTGATCTTAACGTCATTTATTGTTTTCTTTTTGTCACAGATGTGTACGCTCAAGGACAGAAGACAACAGACAGTCACAAGGGGGGAATACCCAGACTGAAAGATGTTTCCATCAGTGAAGTCAACAAAATGTTTTATTTCTCCCCCACGTCATAACAAACAGGAAGTAATTTAGCCAGAGGAAGAATCAAGGTGAAGCAGCACGGGATTACCCTCTGTTTATAAAAGAAGGCTTCTGCTTTTATTATTTAATAACAGAGATATGCTGAATGTGATGTAACACAATTTCACAATATAAGTGACTATTATCAAAGTAACTTTGATAATAGTTAGTAAAGTAAAGAACTTGTATGAACAAGGTGATTTTATTTAATAAATTACATACTTTTTATACACGTGGCTTGTGCAATACTACACTCATATGACGATATCATCATATGAAATAAATGAACTACGATATCGTATATATACATGACGTATGTTGCATTTTGGATTTCATGGGGAAGATTCTAACCTGACCGTCATGGATGGATAACTGAGCGGGCCTATCGGTCACAGGCCCAGGGGGCCAAAGTGTAAGGGGCCCCCTTTCACTTGGGAAATGTTGATCGAAGAGACACGTACTGACCTCAAAGAGATGCAGAATGACTGGACCGGTACAAAAGAGACATGCATACATAATCTCAGAGACATACATCGACCACAAAAGCATCACAAAGTCTGTGGGTCTTGCTCCGAGGTAGGAGAGTCTACAATTCAGGCCACAGGTATAAAAGTTAATATATAATATTTCTTATTATGGTGTGTTACCTACAATTCCTCTCTTTCACTTGTAGTTCCCCACAGATAATGTATTTTATAGAGATACTAAACATACTTCAATTTATGAGCATTTGTTTTGCTTTAGTACAGGGTTTATACTTCCACACTGATAACTGAGAGGGGAAATCACACTTTTCTGGGTAAAAATAACTAACAAACCAGTAAGTCATTGAATATAGTTTCCCCAAAGTATCTTCCACTGAAATGACTAAAGTACTTGCTCCATCTGGATTGTATTCCCTTCATTATTAATGTACCGATAGTTGCATTCCTGTCCACTGGGTGGCGATAAAGTGCAGCTTTTCGGACTATCTAAAAGAAGAAGACCGTGCTTCCATATTGCTTGATGCCATACGTCGTTTGTCTGTCATCCAGTAATAGTCGTTGCACCTTCAAGCCAGAGTCGCACGTGTTTCACTGCACTAGTAAACAAATGGCCTTCGCTCTGCCGGTGTGGCTCGCGGTGCAGGAGGAGCTGCTCGGACACGACGGAGCGGACTGTGCGGCTCCGAGCAGTTTCGACGATTTCGACGACGACGCTTTGTTCCAGATGTTCCACCTCACCAGACCCTGCATCGCCTTCATCACGGACGCCGTCCGCATCCGCATGAAGAACGTCGCCTTGAAGAAACCCGCGCTGTCGGTGGACGCGACGGTCATGGTGGCGCTGAACTATTACGCGCACGGCGTTTCCTCCGCCGAAGTCCTGCAGAGAGTCGGACCGAACCAGGCGGACAGCCTCGCGGCCATCTGCACAGTCTCCGAAGTCATCGCGGGTATGGCCGATCAGTTCATCTCATTCCCACTACTCCGGGAAGCCAAAACCAATGTCGCCTCCAAGATTAGGAAAGTCTGCGGGATCCCCTACGCGCTGGGCGTCTTGGCTCCAGCTCACTTCAAGATAAGAGCTTCTCCGTACGAGAAGGAGACGTTCAGGTCTTTCGTCAACACCTTGGGTTACACGTCGGTGGTGAGCCAGATCATATGCGACTCCGACGGCAACATACTGAGTGTGGAAAAGTGCTGTGTGGGCAGCACGTTTGAGCAGGAAATGTGGGAGTCGTCGTTCAAAGGAAGAGAAATGGAGGAGGAACTGCATGGACCATATTGGGTTATTGGTAAGATGTAAAACAAAAGCATAATCAGGAATGGTGACCCCCCCCCCCTCTCTCTCCATTTGGATGTCATTATTTTTCTGTGCTTTACTAAATGTCAGTGTATAATTAGCCGGCTCACACACAACCTATAACATGACCTGCTTTTTTTTTCTTTTTTTTTTTTTTTTAAACCTAATATCCAAACAAACTATATTCTTGGCGTTATGCTACCCACAACAGTGTATTGGTTTAAAAAAACACTCAATTTTGATAAACAAAAAAAAAAACCTCACGGTCCATGTGCTAGTTTTTTCCAGAGCGTTCAACTGTTTGTCATTCTTCCTCAGAAAATCTGCAGAGGAAATCTCTCGAAAAAGTTTATAAGTGGACCTTAAGTGAAATATTTTTGTCAAACTACTGCTTACAAGGTTAAAAATGAACTTCCCCACTTGATCATTCAGAAGATTGTCATATTAGATAATATGCACTGTCATTTCATGACAAACCTATGTTGACATTCACTCTTCAAAATGTTGATTTTTATTGATTTTTCTATTGATTAAGCTCCGAAACACACCGGTACCCCGTCTAGTTGTCATTAATTGCATTCTCTCCTGAATTTCTTTAAAGGTGGAAAAGGCTATCGCTTAAGCAAACACGTCTTGACTCCTGTGTCAGAACCTGCAAATGACGGTGAGACGCGCTTCAACGAGGCCCACGCCAAGATCCACAACGTCATGCGGACAATGCTCGGCTCCATGAAGAGGCGTTTCAGGTGTCTGATGCAACTTGGTTTTGCACAAGAATGCTCTTTGGTCAAAAAGGCCAACATTATCAAGGCGTGCAGTGTCCTGCACAACATCGCTAAGAAGTTCTCCGTCCCTCCCCCGCCTGTAGCCGGTAAAATTGAGCCCCTGCATCCAGGCAAGCAGCATTCAGTGCCGGTCACGATCAACCCCGAGGCCCTACAAGCCAGACAGGAACTCATCCGTTGTCACTTCTCTATCGCCTCCACTAGAAAGGACCCACTAAGTAAAGCCATCATGGGGGAGGATGCGTGAGCAGAGCGGGTGTGTTGCCTGCTCTAGGTAGCAAAGGATCATCAACATATAGTACGAACATTGGACCCAAAACCTAGCTGATGGCGCAAGATTTATACTCTGGTGTTTTGCTTCTCCGTGTCAGTTTAACACTAATATGAAAATGTGACATACTGGATTTTTCTTCTAGTTTGCAGAAAAAATGCATTCAGGTATTTTTGTTCATGAAAAATATTGTATTTCTTGTACAAATAGAAAATCATACTTTTCTACCTACACTTATTAATTTTAATAAATGTAATTTAAACATTTTTCATTCACCTGGAGTTTTGTTTCCTCACATCATAATAAGAAGAAGAAGAAGAATACACATTTTGTAGATGAGAGGAACACAAATTTACAAGTTAAATAAAATCCAAACCGTACTATTCATGTACAGTAAATATATGACTTAAACGCTTGCATATTTACAGTTAATAACAAAAATATAGCACGGAGACTTTAGAATTAGTTTTACATTAAAGTAATGTAAAATCTTGTAGATCTTGTTGAGTTTAGGCTTTTGTGAACTTTTGCAGTGCAGTGGCATTGGCGTAGATCATGTCTACATTCTCATATATGTTCTCTTCAGTCTTCTCATCTGGCTGCAGACGGTCCATCATGCATTGGTGCAGGAAAACGTACTGAGACTGAAAATAAGAAAACCAAGTGTACCGGTCATTTGAAAAGCAGAAGTTTGGTTATGAAGGGTTCATGTTCACATCGTATTCTGGCCGACACTTCCTTGTAAATGTTAACGAGCCTCAGTTTCCTGATAATGTGGGTTTGTTTAGACCCACAATTAACTTGGGAAAGTTTAAATGGGACAATAGAAAAGACAATCTCAGAACCATGTTTTTGGAGGATGGATATGAACAACTACATGGAAATCTAAGCAAAGCTTACGATTCTATACATGCTATATACAGTAGTTTCAGTGCTATTACTGTATCACCAGCTGTAAGGTCAAGAGAGTCTCAACCGTAAACATGTACCCAAATAAGGAAGTGGTAGTTCAGCCTGAAGTAACTTCATATGAGCGGTTTTACCTCCGTCTGCACCATGTGTGGTCGGCTCAGTCTCATCTTGTGCACAAAGCCGTTGATTCCCACTGCACTCTCCTTCTCGAGCTGCTGAAGTAGCACATCCAGAGCAATGATGGTGCCTGTCCTCCCCACTCCAGCACTAAGAGAGACACGCAGCAATTAGGTAGATCATTAGATAGTCCTGATGGTCTCGAAGTCGGTTTTTAACTTCATGTGGAAATCACTCACTTCCGACTTTAAAACATTTTCTCCCCGCTGAGCACCTTCTTACTTAAAACACTAAACCAGTGAAAGTTATAAAAGCTTATATTTCATCAAAAATCGATCTGCATATATATCATAAGATATGACAGCAGTAATGTTATAAATTGACCCAACTCTTTGACCTTTGTCTGATTTTTACAGGCTACTCTTCAGACTTGCAACAAGCACTCATTCTGTACCTGCAGTGAACCACGGTTGGTGCTCTCGCTCCTTCTCTGTCTACGTGCTGTCTCACCAGCTCTCTGAACTGGATCAGGACTTCTGTGCCCTGTGGGACTCCATGGTCAGGCCAGGCAGTGAAGTGAAAATGTCTCACTGTGCGCTCTTCTGAGGTGTACCCCTGTGAAGATGATCAAATAGAGGAATTCAAATACTGTAAGTCTTCAACCAACAAAGTCATCGTTGAAGTCGTCAAGCATTTATCCTACATTTTTACTTGTGCTCTGACACGATCACACTTTTCATTCGCTTTGTTGTGCGTTGTGACTTGGAACTATATTAAAACTCAACCTATTCAGTTACACCATAAACATTTTAGAGATGTTCCGTACATGTTTCACCCTAAATTCCCTCAATGTCCAGTTGGGCTCCTGCTGCTCAGATCTGATGGTGACCAACAGCTCTCCAAAAGAGCAAGGCTTTGTGTCTGCAGGCCAGTACCGCTCACACTTAGTCTAGGAACAAGAAACACCATAATTGGGTTATTGAAGCTGTTTTGATGTGGTTGTAGTCGTCAGTAGCAGTAGTCAATCAAAGTCAGTTCTTTGTGGGAACTTAAAAACCCACAAAAAGTAACTGTGTGCACTGTCACCATTTGACTACACGTCAGCCATAAGAGCAAACAGTGGAGTCAATCATTTAAGTTTGCACTTCCCCTAAAATCTGCCCGTGTAACATTCTCAAAACTTCCTGAAGACTCACCCGTCCTCCCTCGGTGCAGTTGGTCACCATGACAATGCCGTTCACTCTTTGTTCCCAGATCATTCTCCAAAAGTCATTGACCGTGGACGGCAGAGGACCCTGGGTGGCGATGTACTCTCTGTCGCTTTTGTAGCCCTAAGAAGCAATCGTCAAAGTTAACATGAAAAACCTTTCTTGCTTGTTTAAATCAGTATGATAGAAGAGACCATTTTGTGCTCATGAAATCACACACAGTCAGCATAATTTGCTTGACTTCAAATTAATGTGCAGATGTTTTAGCAACCATTAACTTGTAACTGTGGCAACTTCATTCCTGATAATGATTGTTTCAAGCTTATCAAATCTGCCCTTTGACAGTCATCAAGTAATACCTACTGGCATGTAACAGGCATTAATGTAGTCGGAAGATTCATTGGGATTGGATGTAGTTAGCTTCACCCGACTCCAGTCATCTAGGATGACAAAACAGACGATGGTTCAACGGCAATGCACCGCAACAAAGTAGGCAATGCTTAGAATGAATCAGTGGATCTGGACTATTTCACGAGTCACAACTGCTCATGATATTGTGGGCCAGCTTACATGGCAGGACATTGTTGAAACGGTTCCTCGCTTTGTTCTGGGGTAGAAGAGCCACATTTCGCATTTGCTCCATGCCAACAGGAACGAGGCTCTGCATGGAAGTTAGGTGAGACGGCGTGTGATTGAACGGAAAGCAAGTGAAAGAAGTTCCCCAACTATACACGCACACTGTTGCAGTCATATACAAAAATAGGAAGACATAGAAGAGAAACAAAATGTGAAACGCTTTTGTATGCACCTCGTATTCCTGGCTGAAACCTCTATTCTCATCCACACCTAATTGGTAGAAGTGGTCTGGAAACTTTGCCACAGAAATAGCTCTGAGAAAAAAACACACAACAAAAGTAGAATCCATGGCAGGTTGTAATGGTATTTAAGACAATTGAGATACATAAATATTACAGAATAAAGATTGGGGTTAATCTTAAATACAGTATATTTTCATAGGTGGTCAACCTTCTAATTTTCTGTATTTATACAATATCTAATTTCCCTTTTCACCACATTGTAGACCGACCGGGGTGTTATCATTATATAGAAATGGTGAAACGTATGCTTACTTGCACTTTTTATTGGGTTGTCTGGAACCACCAATGAATGACTTATTTCTGCTGTGGGAAAAAAAAGCAGAGATGTTCCCTGATTGAGTCTGATTCACTACATTTCAGGGAAATAAAATAACTATGGTTACTGAGGCAGCACTAACCCGATAATATCTGGTCTTTTAAAAAAAATGAAGAAAGCCAAACAGAGCAGGAGACAAAAAATCACAACAGCAAATACTGCCCCTGCAATGATTCCTACAGGGGGTAGAATCTGGATTAAATGCTTTAAAACATATATAGATACTCAATGCAGTAGACACCAAAACCAAACAACAAGAACTGATTCCAAACAGAACAATAATGAAGTAAAAGTGAGAATACATTGTGAAAAGGTTACTTCAGGAAACACACTGAGTAATATAGTCACTTTGACTCACCCCTTGGATCAGTGAGACATGAAAAAACAAATGGTTCGTGACTCCTTACGGTCCCGGACAGTAAAGCCAAAGACACCTTATATGTTTTCGCAGGTTGGAATCCAGATATTTGGAGATGCCGCTCGTCATTTCCAGGCACTGTGTGAGTTTTTCCACTCACGTTCACCTCCACTGAAGTCCACACACCCTCCGGGTTATTCCAGACGATAGAGACAGAATAGCCAGCGGCCCAGTACTCGCAGTCAGCGCTTAAATACGCAGGAACTAAGTGAAACAAGTGGAAATACGCCTTTACAATGCAATCACAAACCAGTGTGTCCATTGGCAAACAACAGAAGTTCATGCATTTGCTTTTATGTCCGTCGGAAAGTAATAGTACAACAGAACACATGATTAGCCAAACAGTTAATGTGGTGAGACATATTTGTACTTACTGATTGTCAAGTTGTGGCTACACTGTGTCCAGGTTTCAGAATTACTTTCATACACAAGAGACACCTCATAGGTCGCGCCAGGGTAAAGGCCAGCAAATGACACATTGCCTCCTCGAGGACTGACATGAGTTTGCGTTTTATTAGTGGCTGTTGCATTCGAGAACACGCCTTCAATCGTTCCTTGGATTGATGAGTTAGTAACACGCCAGGTTCTTTTGGCACAGTCTATGGCTGAAATGAATGAGAAAATAAAAGCCTCCATTTGTTAAAGCTATAGCACATAATACAATAAATAAATAATACTTTCCAGAACACAAACTGTTCTGGATGTTACTATTCATATTGAAAATGATCCATTGACAACAGTTTTCGAGAGTTTGTCAGAGAGAAAGCGTGTATATACTTGTTAATGTGGTGTCTTGATAAGCAGTGCTATTAAGTCCAGAGAACCCTGTGCTCAGGCTGAATGGATACACTGTTCCAGGCTGCAGAGACGTGATTGTATGGGACACAACATCCATGTCTCCCTTTGGGTAAATTCGTGATATTTCCCCATTAATTTGGAGAAAGTAGTACCAGTTTGTATTCACTGTCGGCCACGTCAGAGTTATGCTGGTCACAGAGCGTTTAGTCTTGTCGACCGAAATCACCCTTAATGGAACTGAAAACACACACACACACACATATATCAATGTAAAAACATTTTGAATGCAGAAATGAACTGAGAATAAACACTTTTTAAGAGATTTAGAAATGCAGTGTGAATTTCAAAACATTCACTCCGACCTGAGGATGAGGTGTGAATAATAGCCTACATATTATGAGGTGCATTAGAGAGATGCAGGCCCAGGTCACTGCAGTATCTACTGGCTGTTGTCTGTTCCATTGAACTGTAGTTCTGTTTTTTCACTTTTTTACTGCAGTGTTATATTGGTCTGATTTGAATCAACGCGTGTGCATTATGAATAGGTAGTACTGTGTAATGTCAATGAGCATTCGTTCCTCTAAATCCTATATCTGTTGGAAATTTAAATTGTGATGAAGGGTACAGTTAAATACAGCAATTTGCATATCATAAGCAGAATACCAGGCTTCAAGTGTTTCGTCAAAGGTCACCTACCAGTCACAGCGTTAAATGAGAATCCAGTGCTGTTGACTTTCTCAAAGCGAGTGATGAGAGTGAAATCATATTTTGTCCCAGCATTAAGTGAATAGACCTCATATGTGACTGATGCGTTTTGATGAGGTATGCTGATGGCGTCTTCTCTGTTATCATATTGTAGAACGTACGATGAGATGTTGTTCACCGTGTCCCACTTCAGAGTTATACTGCTCTCATTTTGTGTCAACGCAATCACATTATTCACATTCCCAGGAGCTGAAAAGACAAACAGTTGACAGTTTCCACAACAAAGCAAATGATTAGTTGGATTCAACTCCATTATTTTATCAGGAAAAGTCAGAAACGTTACTCAATTTATTAATAATAAGAAACTTTAGATGAGCTAAAAGTCTTGTTGTTAGCCTTTATTGGGAGAAAACCATCTTACCAGTGGGTGCATCGTGTTTCACTCCGCTGCTTCTGACTTTTTCAAACACAGTGAAGAGAGTGAAGCTGTATATAGTCCCGCTGGTGAGCTCTAAGATTGTGTGTGTCACCAGTTCCTGTCCCGCTGATGCAGTTACATTAATCTTTGCTTCACTGAACAGAAGTGTATAGTTGAGGGTGCCATTCACTCTTTCC